CATAGAATCATAGAATATCCCGAGTTGGAAGGGACTCAGGGATCATCAAGTTGAACTCCTGGCACCACACAGGTCTGTCCAAAAGTTTAGACCATGTGACTAAGTGCACAGTCCAATCACTTCTTAAATTCAGACAGGCTCGGTGCAGTGACCACTTCCCTGGGGAGCCTGTTCCAGTGTGCAGCCACCCTCTCGGTGAAGAACCTCTTCCTGATGTCCAGCCTAAACTTCCCCTGCCTCAGCTTAACAGTATTCCCGTGGGTCCTATCACTGGTGTTTACAGAGAATAGGTCACCTGCCTCTCCACTCCCCCTCATGAGGAAGTTGTAGTTGACTGTGATGAGGTCTCCCCTCAGCCTCCTCTTCTCCAGGCTGAACAGGCCCAGTGCCCTCAGCCGCTTCTCATATGTCTTCCCCTCTAGGCCCTTCACTATCTTCGTCGCCCTCCTCTGGACACTCTCCAACAGTTTAACGTCCTTCTTGTACTGTGGTGCCCAGAGCTGCACACAGTACTCGAGCTGAGGCTGCACCAGTGCAGAGCAGAGCGGGACAATCACCTCCCTCGACCAGCTAGTGATGCTGTGCTTGATGCACCCCAGGATACGGTTGGCCCTCCTGGCTGCCAGGGCACACTGCTGGCTCATATTCAACTTGCTGTCAACCACAACCCCCAGATCCCTCTCCAGCGTCTCATCGCCCAGTCTGTACGTATAGCCAGAGTTGCCCTGTTCCAGGTGCAGGACCTGGCACTTGCCTTTGTTAAACTTCATGTGGTTGGTGATCGCCCAGCTCTCCAATCTGTCCAGATCTCTCTGCAAGGCCTTTCCACCCTCATCTGAGTCCACAACTCCTCCAAGTTTGGTGTCGTTGGCAAATTTGCTCAGAACACCTTCTAGTCCTACATCCAAATCATTTATAAAGACATTGAAGAGGACTGGCCCTAAAATGGAGCCTTGAGGGACCCCACTAGTGACCGTCTACCAGCCACATGTGGCCCCATTTACCACAGCCCTTTGAGCCCTGCCCGTCAGCCAATTGCTCACCCATCGTATGATGTTTTTGTTAAGTTGTATGGTGGACATTTTGTCCAGTAGGATCCTATGGGAAACTGTGTCAAAAGCTTTGCTGAAGTCCAAAAAGATCACATCAGCTGGTTTCCCTTGGTCAACTAGATGGGTGATCTTATAAAAGGAAATCAAATTTGTTAGGCAGGACCTACCCCTCATGAACCCATGTTGGCTGGGACCAATGACTGCATTGTCCCCCAGGTGTGCCTCAATAACTTCAAGGATCATCTTCTCCATAATTATACCAGGCACTGACATGAGACTGACAGGCCTGTAATTGCTAGGGTCTTCTTTCTTCCCCTTTTTGAAAACTGGGACAACATTTTCCATCTTCCAGTCTACTGGAACCTCTCCAGATTCCCAAGATCATTGAAAAATAATTGAGAAAGGTCCTGCAGTGATGTCAGCCAGCTCTTTAAGCACCCTGGGGTGAACTCCATCCGGACCCAGGGACTTGTATGGATCCATGTGGAGCAGCAAATCCCGCACACGTTCAGGGTCATTTAGGAGTTTGTCATTCCCACCATCATGGCCTTCCAGCTCAGGGCACCCTGGATCCTAAAGCCCATCATCAGTGTTGAAGACAGAGGCGAAGAAGGCATTAAATGTCTCTGCTTTGCCTATGTCATTGTCTGTGAGGAGACCTTCCTCTTCAAGTAGTGGACCTATGTTTTCTCTGGTTCTCCTTTTTCTGTTCACATATCTATAAAAACCTTTTTTTATTGTCTCTCACAGACATGGCCAGCTTCAACTCTAGTTGGGCTTTGGCCCCACGAATTTTCTCCCTGCAAATACGAACAGAATCCCTGTATTCCTTCCTCATTGCCTGACCCTCCTTCCAGCAGCCGTACACTTTCTTTTTTTGCCTAAGCTCCAGTAGAAGTTCCCTGGTCAGCCAGGCTGGCCTTCTGTCCTGCCTGCCTGCCTTCTGATATTTTGGAATTGCCTGATCCTGTGCTTTTAGGAGGCAGTGCTTAAAATTGACCAGCCCTGATGGACACCAGTGCCTTCAAATTAAAAAGACAAAGAAGTGCCATTCAGAAATGATGTAATGGATAAAAATCTGGTTTCCTTAGGCTATTAATGACTTTGTGAAATGTTCAGAATATCTCTTGCTTAGCTGTTCAGGCAAATCTGAAACCCTTCAGATGACCTCAGACAGTAAAACAATCGGTATAAGTTATCATTCTCATAAAGTGGTAATATCCTTGAAGCAGTACCCCAAAAGTATATCCCTGAATCAGTACCCGAAAAGAAAAACACGTACATAGACCAACATAAATTCAAGAACTGAGCCCTTTGGGAGTCTCCAAACATTTGAATGTGATTGGAAGAAAACCCACACAAAATAATAAAGTGGGAGTAATATTCTGATCTTCTCCAGAATCTTAGTCTGCTTCATTTTACCATCAGGGATAGGGAAGAAAAGCTTTTAAATCAGCCAGCTTCAGATTGATTCATAAAGCAAACAGGGAAAGTATTATGAGGCAAGTCTTCATGCTATGATAGACATCTAGGAATACTCATCATTGGCAGTCTATTCATCTTTGGCTAAGGGGGTGGAAACTCTGGTTTGTCTCCCTGGGTAATGTATGGAATCCTGTTTATATTCCCCAGGCCTTGGGAAGCAAAGTCTGGTCTTAAAATTAGCTGTAATTTTTGCTGATCAGATAATGGTCTGGCCAGCTATTTTTCCATGACTTTTGTTATGACAAATCTATGACATACTCTTATTTTTCTAAAACATTTGTGTGGTGAATGTACTTGTTTCATCTGAGACAACCAGCTGGTGGTGATTGAAAGATTCCCTCTGGATAGGTGATTTGCAAAGATTTTTCTTTTTATAACGCGGAGAATCAGAAAAATAGAAATACAAAAACAAGGAGAAAGGAGCATTCAGATGTTTTCTTAAATGCCCAGTGCAAAATTAGAAATTCAATGTTCTCATATGTTAGAGATGGTTTAAATATACCTATATATTTCATAGAATCATAGAATCATAGAATATCCTGAGTTGGAAGGGACCCTTAAGGATCATCAAGTCCAACTCTTGACACCGCACAGGTCTACCCAAAAGTTCAGACCATGTGACTAAGTGCACAGTCCAATCTCTTCTTAAATTCAGACAGGCTCGGTGCAGTGACCACTTCCCTGGGGAGCTTGTTCCAGTGTGCAACCACTCTCTCTGTGAAGAACCCCCTCCTGATGTCAAGCCTAAATTTCCCCTGCCTCAGCTTAACCCCGTTCCCGCGGGTCCTGTCGCTGGTGTTAATGGGGAAAAGGTCTCCTGCCTCTCGACACCCCCTTACGAGGAAGTTGTAGACTGCGATGAGGTCTCCCCTCAGCCTCCTCTTCTCCAGGCTGAACAGGCCCAGTGCCCTCAGCCGTTCCTCGTACGTCTTCCCCTCCAGGCCTTTCACCATCTTCGTAGCCCTCCTCTGGACACTCTCCAACAGTTTCATGTCCTTTTTATACTGTGGTGCCCAGAACTGCACACAGTACTCGAGGTGGGGCCGCACCAGCGCAGAGTAGAGCGGGACAAATTTAATATTTAATGCAATATTTTTAATATTTAATGTATTTAATGTCAGAATCTAATTTAGCAGTTTATATTTATCCATTTAACCATTATGTTTCTGTACATCTCTTCTATGGAAAGTACACAGAATGAGCAAAATAGAATAGGCAGGACAGCATCCAATTCATTATTTCTCTTCTTCGTAATTACTTACATTACTGGGATTCTTAGGAGGTTTGGTTATTGGCTAAGGTGTCATTGTTAGGTACTGTACAAATAGTGAATATTTGCACTATGTAATGGTGAAGATAATAAGGATCACGGTGTTATGGTTTTTGATTACTCTTTTTCCTGAATTTCAAGACGATCTGGGAGAAGCACGATTTGAAATACACAATAGCTCAGGTTCTGGAGTCAGTTAACCTGTCTTTCAGTGAACACATCCAGCTTCTCAGCCTACCATGCAAAAATGTATTGGTCATTGTTATAAAGTTAGCTCAAGTGTGAATGTAGAGCACTGATGTGCAGGAAAACCAGGGTGAGAAAGATATCTGCCTTGGCAGTCCTGCCCTTTTGAGGGGAGCCGTGTATGGCTAAGTCTGCCCTATTTTGGTTTCTTACAAATTGATCGGACTGTTTGTAGGAGGGGTATAAGCATCATCAAATTCTGAAGTAATGTTTCGTTACAGCTTTACATTGCTCTACGTAAATGTGCATTTTTTTGTGATACCTTAGACCAAGATACAACTGTGTTTTGTAAGAGCCTGAGTGATGCTATCTTTGTTCTCTCTTTTTACAATGACCAATAGGCACTAATTCTGTTAATTGTATGTCTTATCTAATGATTAAAATCTTTTTCTGCTATGTGTGCAGTACAATGAGTAAAAAATAGGAAAATGTGAAAACTGAAATGTAATTGCTAATGTAGAGGATGTTGCATCAGCCCACTATGTAATTACTATCCTTAAAACATCAAATTTAAATATAATGTTTTTAAATCGCTTATTTCAGGTATCAGTGGAAAAACTAAAATGAAACAACAGTAGAAGATTTTACATGTACATGACTTTTAACAGTATTTGAACTAGTAGCACAACTGAATGGACTAAATTTTGATATCTAGGCAGAAACAGCAGTGTTGTATTTGGACTAAGAAATTACTTGCTGGCTTTGTCACAGTTGACATTAATTATTGATAGAGGTTTCAGTAATAGTGCATGTGCCAGCAGACTTGACTGTAATATAAGAAAGGGACTGCAGTGGTGTTAGAGGGATTATAGAGAGGGAAGCACCTGTAGCATTTGGAGTTGCATGCTCTAATAATCAGACTTCTGTTTTGCTGCAATACATTCATGAGTGATTAAAATAATGGAAAGATGAGTCATCAGGCTTATTTCTATCGTGTCCCTCCACAGGAGTTACATAGAAGAACCCAACTTCAGCCTGAGCCAGCAAAGACAAAGGCTCTTCAAACAGTTATTGAAATGAAGGTATGGTCTTTGCATGTTTTCCTATACATTAATTTTTTTAGCTTGAATGGCTGGGATGGAGGTAATTTTCTTCATAGCAGTCTGTAAGGTGCTGGTCGGGATTGGTGACCAAAACACCAATTGATAGGTCAGCTATTTTAGTTGTTGCTGAGCTATGCTTACACAGCATCAAGGCTTTCTCTGTTTCTCACTCTACCCTCCCAGCGAACAGACTGCGGGTGGACAAGAGTCAAGGTGGGAATGCAGCTGGGACAGCTGGCCTCAGTTGAGGAGAGGGATATTCCATACCATCTAATGGCATGCTATTCAGTGAAACTGAAGTGAGGGGAGCATTCAGAGTTACGGCATTTATCTTCCCACAGAGCAGATGTGTGATGAAACCCTGTTTTCCTGGAAATGGCTAAATGTCTGCCTGTTGATGGGAATTAATAAATGAATTCTGTATGTTGTTTTGCTAGCACACATAGTTTTTCTTTATTAAACTAGCCTTATCTCAAAGAACAAGTTTTCTCACTTTTGCCCTTCTGATTTTCTTCCCCACCCCACTGAGGGAGAGTGAGCATGCCACTGTGTGCTGCTCAGCTGCCAGCCAGGGTTAACCCACAGCTACTCAGTTTATAACTTTTACTATTAAATGCTTGCTTTTACTTTTCAATTTACTTTGCTGTGAAGCTAAGAATAATAAGTATTTCTTTCTCCAACCTTTAAACCAAAATTATTCTGCATCCATTACTGTCCAGAGCTAGGGATGAAAAGAGATGAAATCTGAAGGCCTGTAATTTCATATATATAAAACATATACTCAGTAAACTTATAAAGCTGCCTTTCTGAAGGCAGAAATGTATCTCTTTTAAAGACACTTGATAAATATTTGCCTTTCTCTTCACTTGTTTCTATAAAAAGTTGAGTTTGTTACAAATTAATCAAAACTCTTGTAAATGAACAAACTGGCATACTAGATTTCGTATCTTAGACATATACATGTCAGTTGTGTATTTCAGACAAATTTGGAGTAGTGCTATCCAGAAAACATTTACATAGCAATTTCTCCTATTGTTTTTTCTTATTTCCAAGTCTGGCCCATTTATTCTGTAGTATAAAGGACTGGCTCTCAAGTGTTTTAATAATGAAATAATGCAGAAATTATACAGAAAAGCATAAGAGCTTTATTTGTAAGTAAAAATAATGTGTGCGTGGTTTTGGAATATGAAATTGATATAACAAGAAGAATCATAATGAAAATCTGTAGAATTATAGTAAGAAATCTGTGTAAATGAAGGCAGATCTAAGCCATAACAGAGTACTCACAGAACACTATAAGGTGATATCACAAATAGCAGCTATTCTTATCTGTACTGATAATTTACTGATTGTTCAGCACTGAGCTGAATATTACTCATATTCCTGCATTAAAGAAGTACTACTTCTCTTTTTGAAAACTATTTGTGGTTTGCCAAGACTGATCATGGTAACTACTGTCAAACTAGAGTAGAAGCATTTGTTGGTGGAGAAGTGCTTTTATCAGGTATTAACTGGATTTTGTATAGCCTATTTTCTATTTGTCAGTAAAGCTCACTTGTAGCTTTATTTTACTTTTGTAAGCAGACAACCTTGTCTTCACTCTACAAATGTGTGAGTTCTCTAGAGCTTAGTGAAACACTATGTTGTTTAAAATGAGTGTTAAAAATCTCCACCATCCTTATTTTGTTTTCTTGGTAAGACTTGATTAAAAAACAAGCACAGCATTGCTGAGTAATGAGAATTAAATGTTACTTTTTAAAAGACTCAAATACCACAAACCAACTCCCCATATGCCTCAGGAAAACTAAACCCCCAAACCTGAGACCAAACAAACAAAAGTTTCAGGAGGGCCAACAATACTTCCGTTGGTGGTTATTTGGTCACTGTTTTACATCCGACTTAAGGAACATATTTTTTGTATCAGTAGTGGTGTGACAAAATGTGATGAAACACCTATCTTAGTCCTAAATACAGTTTATTCTTCTTGATATATAATATTACTAAAATGTTGTGGCTTTTCTTCCCACAATAATGAAAGAAAAAAAAAAAAGCTAATTTAAAAAGATATTTTCACATAATGCTATGAATCTGGAATCTGTCTTTAAGAAAAATACCATGCTCAGGATAATCTGTGATGCTGCCTGAAATACATTAATGGTGGTCTTTCATTTCAGTCTTAAAAGAAGTGCAAATTAAAGGTCTCATTTTGCCAGTGACTTCTGTTATGAGCAAATGAGTTCAGTATGTCTGAAAGTTGCAGTTAACACACAGTGACAACAGCAGCAGTAAATTCCTAAATACAGTATCTGCCTATTAATGGATAATAATTAGTTTGGATTATATGAACAGCAGAGAAGATACTTCAGTTTCAATATTCCATAATCTTATGTGCATTTTCCTTGGAATTTCACTATTTATTCCAGTTCAGAAGTCTGTATGAAATTTAAACGTGTATTTTGGCAAAGTAGGACACTAGCTGAGAAACCTGTTTTTTTTTTTTTCCTTCCTATTAATATTCAGTATAACAAATTTAATATTGTTGTGATACTGAAATAGTGTGCTTAGAATAGTTTATGGTCTTCCATGTGGGTTATCAACAAAATGTAACAAGAAAAAAAAAGTTATGTTTACAAAATAATTCCCAATTCCTCTTTGTGTACCAGAATTCTTTGAAAAGAACGAGGGCATATGGAATGGGGTGGGGACACATATAGAAAATACAAAAATGTAACTGTATAGTTAGAGCTACTCTTACAGTGTCTGTTCAGGAAGACAGTCTTTGTGTCCCAGGAGAGCTGGGAATAGTGTCATCTCCTGTTTTTAAAAAATCTGATCTTTGTAATAACCAGGGCTTTCATTTGTCATGGGAGAGGCTGTAATCATGTTGCCGGAGCATTCAGAGGTGGAGCTGCCCCTCAGCTCCAAGGCACACAGGTCTGTCTATTGCTCTGAGCACTGCTTTGAGATTGCCCTTTTTAAAGTAGGTCTAATATTGAAAAGAAGATGTTGAAATCTACATGATTAATCATCAGTTTTCATTAGAAATCCCAGCTTTGGAAAATTTGCAAATTTAAATTGTCTTAATCCAGGCAGCATTTGTTTTGAAAAAAAAAAAAAAAAAAAAAAAGTGAAACATTTGTTTTAAATGATCGAGCATTGAAGCAATAATTTCCCTGCAATGTTGAGGATAGAAGGAGGGGGAGGATTGCCCTCTAACATGGCAAGCTGATCCCATACCCTCCCCCCACCTTGCCAATGCTCCAAGCAGGTAGACATTTCTCTTTATCACACCCAGTGCATTTCATTTCCCCTTCACACTAGTTTTTGTCACAGTCCCATCCCTGGCTCCCCAGGCCAGGAGGCAGTTTTCCCTACTCGCAAACTACTTCTATTCTTTCCCATGGTCTTCTTCTGGTTTTGCCACTGCTGTAATACTTCCTATATACTTCCTATCCCTTTCCCCATCTGTCGTACCTCTTGTCCAAGGATGCATGCCTGTTTCTCTTGGCTTCCATCTCTCTTGGGTAGGAAGGTTCTGAAGAGACATTAGAGACTTGGCTAAAAATAAAAACTTTTAACCCTTCAAGTATGCTGGAAAGGAAGGTCCCACAGCCATTCTGTTTGAATTAATTGAGTCAGTTACACATTGAATATGAAATGGAAGCCTGGGTGCTTTAATTGATGCATACCATTTCTTGAATAGGAATGAGTTCAAAAAGACATTCTGAATGGTTTTCCTCTCATTGCAGTGTTATAAAGACATATAGAGTCAGTGGATTCTTCTTGTACTTTCCACAATGAGTAATTCCAGTGATCTGTAACTAAGGCAGAGAGCAAGGATAAAAGAATAGGCAAATTAAAGGTAGGGGCAGAATGTTTCCTGACTCTAGTGCTGTGGTTTTGATGGGTTGGAAAACACCGTCCCTTCCTCTTTTGCAGCATCTCAGTAGCTGACGGTTGTATTTCCCATTGTAAGACTTTTTCAGAATACTTTTCATATAAATAACTCATATTTATGGAGATTGTTGTTGGGTTAGCCAGTTCCTTTATTTGTCAAGTGCACAGCATAAACTTCCTTTAAAGAAGAAATTATTCAACAGTTGGCTAAAGCTCTGTTCTCTCATGGAGAGTCTCTAGCAGGCACTCTGTCCTGAATCTTCCATGTTTACAGAATGACACTGGAATTATGTTACAGGAAATTTTACTGATAATTAGGCATGTAAGCAAGACCTGGTTTAGTTGTTTATAAAGCTCAGAGAATATTTGTTGATTGAAGTGTTTAACAGAATTTTGAAGTAAGATGAGTCCCTGTTAGATACTCAATGATAGTTGTTGTATTTTATACAAAATTTCTATAAAATGACAAGATGAAATGCCACCCTACCTCTATCTTTAAGACCTTAATTAGGAGTGTAAAGGAGAACTTATATTTGGCACATGTACAACAGTTACTGGAAGGCTGTGTTTTCTTTTAATGTATATGGATTAAAAAAACCCATGTTGATAAACTGGGAAGTGTTCAGACAAAAGTCATTAGAATGTTTAAAAAAGTTTATCAAGCATGCATTATAATGAATAACTTTAGGAGTTTAGTTTTTTTGTGTATATCAAAGAGATAAAGTTAGAGCTCCGTAGATAGAAAAGAGATTATAGTCTGTAGATAACCTACATGAGGTATCTTCATAAAAAAGAGGCCTCTCAAGTCCTGAAAATAAATAAAAAAATACAAAATACAGCATGTGGAAGCTAGAGGTAGCAAATGCACACTAATATAAGGTGTAAATAAATATCTAACAGCTTTCATGTGATGTTATGATTTGTGTTGAATAGAAAGCCAGAATAGTTGTTTTTTTTTTTCACCTGAACAAGTAACTTTTTTTTTTTTTCTCATGCCTAAATCTTTGTCTGCTTAAGCACAAAATAAAGCCAATGTACTGAAATGCATTCCTTTAATTGACATTGCACCCATGTATACTTCC